GGGTCCACCTTAATCTGGGATGGCTCACAAAGACCCTGTTTCTAAATAAACTCACGTTCACAGGTGCCCAGAGCTAGGGCTTGGACATTTTTTTTTGTAGGAACTATTGTTCATCTTGCTACTTAGGTGACCTTGACCAAGGGCGTCTCCCTTCCATTTTCCATTGCAAACAGTCCTGGGTTGACTGGGCCAGGGCTCTCAACTTGCAGGCCTCTGGAGTCCCCCCAGATGCCACCCTGAGATCCCCAGGGCTGGGGCTGGGCATTGGTATTTCTTAGAAATCTTCTCAGTTGTGACTGCTCCATCCTGGTGTCCACAAGACTCTCTGGTGTAGGTGGTGAAGGCTCTTCATTCTAAGAGACGCCTGAGTCCAAGGCGAAGTGGGACAGTTAGTCACCAAATCCCATCCATCCCCAGGGCAGGTGGATGGAAGCTTTTGGACTTGACCCCCGTGGAGATATTCGTACCTCTCAGACCAGAGGCTGGGGCATGGTAAGCCTGCTTTCTATTGCTATAGCAAAATACTGGAGGTTGAGTTAAAAAAAAAAGGAGGTTTATTTAGCTTACAGTTTGGAAACTGAAATCCCAAGGCCAGAAGCTCCAGGTATTGGGCCTCTGGTGAGGATCCTGGGCCACACACAGCATGGTGGGTGGCAGCACTTGRCAGGAGCATATGCAGAGGAGTCACATGCAGAGACAGGAAGAAAGGAGGGGCCTGGGAGTGGGCGCCTCACTTCCACAAGAGCCTGCTTGGTAGGGCCTAGTCCCTGACCTGCTTCCTGAAGACAGACATGAATCCCCTTAGGGGTGGAGCCCCATGGCCCAGCCACCTCCCACCAGGCCACTCCTCTTGGAGATCCACTGCCTCTCAACACCAGCCCCCAGGGACCGAGCTCCAGCACAGGAACCTCTGGGGGCACAGCTGGGCTGAACCACTCCATAGACTCCGTGATTCCCGCCTGGCCACTCGCTCCCCCTCTCTGCAGCCGCAGGGTGGCCTTGTCCAGGTGGAGGGTGTGCGCCCAGCTGGGTCTCAGAGCTACATCCAGAGAAGGAGGGTCTTTCAGAAGCCGTGGGGCACCCCAGCCTCCTCAGGGCAGAGGAGAACACATAGAGAAAGTCGTCTTACCCTCCCGTGGCGTGGGACACCTGCTCCAGGCAGCCTTGCCTTGCCCTCCTCCCYCAGGTGCCTGGGCCTCTCCCTGAGTGGCTCTGAGGGTGCAGGTTCCCTCAAGAGCCTCTGGAGGACACAGCCAGGGCAGGTGCCACAGYTGTCACACCAGGGCCCGGGCTGGCATCTGTCCCCCACTCCCTGTATAGGGGATAGGGACAAGAGGTCAGGAAAGAGGCAAGCTGAYCCAGAAGGGAGCCTGCGTTGACAGGAGGATCCCCAGGACATCTGTGACAGCCTTGTGGAGGGGCTGGCGGCTACCTCCTAGGTGGCCCCCATTGTTCCCCAAGAAGCCCCGTCTTGGTGCCTGTGATCGCCGGGGAGCTGCCTGCGGTGGGCGGGAAGCCGGCTCAGCTTAGTCCAGGCCTCCTCCGAATCCAGACTTTTCCAGTTTCACGAATCTGCTGTCTGGCTTGTCACTGCCACTGTCCTATCCTGCTAGTGCTTCATGGAAATGAGCCCCGACTGCTGAGCTCTTGGATAGGGGACTTCTCCTGCCTCCACCTGCATCTCCCCTGCTCCCGGACTCCAGTGGGACAAGGGCATCTGCAGTCAGGACAGTGCAGGTGTCTCCAAGTCCCCACTTCCRCCAGGACACTCCCTCGCATGGAGCTGCTGCCGGCCCTGCCTCTCCTGTCCATTCCTCCTTCCCTCCAGGCTGGCGTCCCCCACCTCGGCAGCCCTCCCTCCTCTCCCAAGGGAAGATGGCTGTGTGGTGGCCTGGTGACAGGATCCCAGAGGAGGCTGCAGGCTACTAGTGGTGCCTCCTCACCCTCCCAGCCCTGGACCAGTGGGAGGACTTCACGTTGGCTGTGCTCGTCTGTCTCTGGGACAYGGCTGCCATGACCTGGAACCACCATCGGGGCGGACACACTTGAGCCACAGGGTGAYGACACATGTGCCATTTTGCATTGGTGTGTGGAACCTCCGTGAGCACACACAGGTCACAGCACTCAGACCCCAGGKGAGGAAGGGCCATCAGGGAGTGGGACCCATGCTCTCCCTGTAATGGAGGAGATGAATCATGGCGGCCTCTGCTGAGGCTGTCCAGGGCCGGCAGGCCCTTCCTCACGTCTGTGCGTGTGTGCAGATGTGAGCGAGCAGGCATGTGTGTAAACGTGCACGAGCTAGCATGAGTGCTGAGTTTGAACACGTGTGAGAGCTGCGTGTATGTGAACATTGGTGGGTGTGAAAGTGAATTGTGAGCATGTGTCAGTGTGTGAGGGAGCTGGTGGGACCGAGCCTGTGTGTGTGCATGGGTGTGTGTGAACCCTTCAACTGCACCCCGTGGCTTCCCCTGTTCTCCTGTGTGTGGACACTGGGTCAGCAGGACGCTGGGCTGTCTGATGGACATGCTGCTCTCTGATGGACACATCCTGGCCGTGCTGACTCTAAACAAGACCATCTTTCCCTGCTGGCCACAGGGTGTAGCTGCTTCACCTAACAAGGCAAAGTGGAAAGTCCCCGCGGTCATCTGTGCCTGAGCATGGACTCACCGAGCACAATCACACCCTCACTCACACACGCTCACTCACATATCCACACCTTGCAYCTGCACACACACTCAAACATGCTGACACTCATGTATACTCACACACTCACAAACACACACCCATAGAGTCACACACGCAATCTCATGCTCACTCACAATAACACTCTCACGAATAACACTCACTCAGTCACGCACACACCCAACACATGTGCACATACACCCAACGCATGTGCGCATGTGTGCACACACACACACACACTCACACACACCTTTTGCTGTACCTTTATGGAGGAGTGATTGATAGGAAGACCTGTTAGTCAACATCTAGAAGCTGTTAACTTGGTTCTATTTTGACGACAGGCGTTTAACGATAGAGAAAGCATGAGGACATTCCAGACTCCACCAAGTCCTCAGTGCCACGTCCTGCCMTCCCTGTGCTGGGCTGGAGGGTGCAGTGCTCTCTCTAGAGGGACCGGCAGGCCGTGGAGTGGAGTGGGGTCCCCTCCCTCACCATGTGCCTTCCTGAACCGCGGCCCCCTTCCTGGAACCCACCTGGTGGAGGACCTGCGCTGTAGGGCGGTGGTAGAGAATTGCAGGGAAAAGGAGTTTTACACTTTAATGTTGTCCCTGATTCACCTCCACATGCTATGGAAACTTCCTGAATGGTACAAACTTCCCGAGAGAGGGTAAATGTGGTATTATAAAGAAGATTCAGCTTGCATTTTAAATGTCCAAATTTACTCAGATTTTAATTAATTTACATTTTCTTTTTTTTTAAAGATAGAGAGAGGGAGAGAAGAGAGAGAATTTCTTAATATTTATTTTTCAGTTTTTGGTGGACACAACATCTTTTATTTTATTTTTATGTGGTGCTGAGGATCGAACCCAGCGCCCCGCGCACGCCAGGCGAGCGCAWTACCGCTKGAGCCACATCCCCAGCCCTAATTTTCTATTTATTCTTCTAATGCTAATCAAATTAATTTCCTCGAACATGAGAGTTTTAGGATCGATTCTTTCYTTATTAAACTCTTTCTTTTTAACCTGTATTACAGCACAGTCTACGGGTCGGTCCTCACGAAACTCGGGTCTTCTGTAAAGGGACTTGCTGTCCTCCAGGGAACCCCTGTGCAGGGCCCTTGGCTGTGGTTATTTCCAGCTTCTCTTTAAAGTTCTTGCCATGGCATCTGACACTCAGCCATTAGCCATGCAAGCGCAGCAGTGAGTCGTYGGGGAGATGAACCTACAGAGAATAGAAGACATGGCAACGTGGGCATGGGCATCGGGTGGAAGGCCCCGGGGGGGGACAGCTCTGTATTTAGGACACAAGGGAATTATGAACTGGACAGCCAGGGGGCCCCTGTACCTACCCTGTCGTCTTCTCCGAGAAGCCAACAGCTTTCAATACCAAGTTACAAAAAGCTCAAAGRCTTTGTGGGCTAGAGAGAGTCTGACACGAAATCTAAAAACCCATCTCACATGTAACATGACAGTTACTGAAATAAAAATGCCTCCTACAATTCCACCACCTCAACAGGCTTTCTCTTCTCCCCTTGATCTTCTCTGGGTTTCATCCACTTTCATATAAGGTTGGGGTTGRCTTCTTTCTGAAGGCAGTTGTATGAACTTTTGTTTTGAGTTTACAGTGCTCATTTTTTCTTAACACTGGTAAAACATCTTCATGGTGGGCATTTCCCGATTCTTTAATATTCCATCCTCTGCAATAATTCATTCCCCCCCCAACTTGTGGCTGTTCCACGGGTGATTTTCCATTCCAATCACGGGTAGTGAGCGTCTCTGTGAGCACAGCYCAGCGATCCCCAGGAGAAGGGGCTGGTGAAGTCCCACTCATGACTTCTGAGCTGTATTGTGGAGCTGTGTGAAGGGTGCCTTTCTGAGTCTGATGTACCACTTTGATTTGACGCTGTTTTCTCCTGCCAGTTTGCAGTGATAGGGTAAGAGAATACTTTGCAMTTGGTGGGGGGACACAGATTTGGGTTTGCAATGCATTTTCTGGGTAACAATGAGATGGAACTCAGCGATGAGATTGGAGATGTTGGCCGCTCACCTTTCCTAAAAGATGCCATCTGCTTGGAGCAAGAATAGTCTGTGACATGCAGGAGCCCCCAGGGAAACAGCGGTAGCAGGCGGGCATTGATGAGCAGGCATAAGGGACTGCTCCCAGCAGATGCTCCCTCTGAAGCCATTGCCATCACCAGCAGCACAGGGGACAGAAGGCCTTTTCTTGGGGCCCAGGCRACGCAGGCCCTTAGTGCCCCTCCAAAGACTCAGACTGCTGCGTTGGAAGCCCTGGGTCCTGCGTGGCCCCTGCCCCCGAGGATGCCCATGACCCTGGGGCTGGCCCTGCTGGCTTTGGCCAGTGCTGTGGGTCTGAGCCAGGCCAGCAGCTTTACAGGTGAGGCATCTGGGCTCAGCGTGGGTGATTCTTGAGGAAGGGGCTCCTTGGGAGAGGGTCTCATRAGGATGGCACCTATGGGGACACCGTGTCTTCTATGAGGGGTGGACCTGCTCCTGGATGGCCAAGCTGCATAAGTCGGGAAGCACCCTGCAAGCTTCCAGAAGGACTCCTTCAGTGCCAGGGTGCCTCTGGGGGTCCCGGGGATCCCTGGGGTTAAAATGTGGATTCAGAGCTGGAAGGGGGGCAGGGTGGGGCCGGAAACTGCATTTGTGTGGGTGATGAAGGTGTGGTAGATCCTTGGACCCAGTTGGGGACAGCAAGCTCTTAGAGATTATCCTGGACCTCSGGGTATTGAAGTCCTTGATCATAGGTCAGGACCCAGGAACCAGAGATGTTAGGGCTTGCCCTTCGCCACCCAGCTCCTAAGTGCAGAATTACTGCYATGGAGTGAGGGGTGGGTGAGGGCACCAGCAGGAGCCTCAGGAGACACAGGGTTTGTAGAGCTKCAGGGCTGGGGTGTAGCTCAGGGCAGAGTTCACAGTTAGCACACTGGGTTCCATGCCCAGTACCGCAAACAAACAGAAACTYGTGGATTTCTGAAACCACAGATTGCAAGAAATTGAGATTCCAAGCTTTAAAATTATTTCCTCTTAAAACTCTCTCACTCAGTTGGGAGTCTAAAGAGACCCACGCTGTCTCCAAATCAACTACAGCTTCCCTGCAGACAGGAGCGGGCACGTGTGTGTGTGTGTGTGTGTGTGTGTGTGTGTGTGTGTGTGTGTGTGTATGGTGAGAGTGTGTGCACACGTATGGGCTTGTGTGAGCATGTGCATGTGCACACACATGTGCCGGCTGGAGGGCCCTCCTGGCCATTAGCTGGGACCCATAAAGAGCAGGTGGAGCCAGGGGGCTCCCTAAACACCACGKACTGTGGCCTCGGTGGACATCTCCCCGTAGGTGAAGGTGAAACCCTCCATWGCCACCTGATGCTGGGCACCTGGGGCTTCGTCCTGCTCAGCATGGCCACCAAGTTTGAGCCCGGGTTCCTTCTGCCACTCTCTCACCCTCTCCTAGTCATATCTGAGCTTTTGGCCAACCGCCGCCCCACGACCCCAACTTCTCCTGTCCCATCCCAGGTCACCAAGGCTCTGTGCTCTCCATTTGGCAGAGGAGCCACCAGGTCGCCCCCGACCCACAGAGTCCCYTGAGGAGGGCGACTGGGATGCAGCATCCCCCAGGAAGGTGGCAGCTTGTCYTCTGTGACTGGAGAGGCTTCTTCTCCGCCCTGGGGCTCCACCCAGAATARGGCTGCACCCCTTCCATCAGCCAGTCCACGGCCGGCTCTGTCCAGTTTCTTACTGGTTCTCACTATCTGCCTGTTTGTGAGTCACCCAAAAGTCCAGGGCAGGTGTCTTCAGAGGTGCCATCCTGGGGTGGGGACAAAGGCAGTGGCTCTTCTTAGGATTATTTCTGCCCCTGTCTGTGAGTTCCTCCCAGCCACCCACCGCGTTGCTCTGGGAGGGAAATAAGTGGTGGCATTGGCCCTACCTGCAGGCTGTCGTCTAGTGGGGCGGAGAGCTTGGGGCTGAGCATCTGAAGGTGCGGCCCCGGCCAGCCCCTCCTTCAGCCCCTACCTGAGTCCAGCACACAGARCCCCTGCTGGGAGCTATGGGAGTTGAGGGGACCCATCTCCAGTTAGGCTCACCTCTTGAGCTTTTGGGGGTTAGCACCTGAACATATTTTGGAGGAACACAATCCTCCCCAAGCAGCTTCAGTGACATGAGGTGACAGAGGCTCCCTGGGAAGAGGGGAAGCCCCAGGAGCCACCTGAGGGGAGACAATGACAAAGGGGCAGAGGGCTGGCAGATGTCACCTGTGCCTAAGTCTCAAGAACAGAGTACTCATATTGACAAAGGATCGATGGGCTTCACGTCGGAGCCAGGCTCCAGGGCAGAGATGCTCAGGGCCTGACGGGGTCAGCGGGAGGCTCCATCTAGAACAGGGTGACGTGCCCTCCGTCCTCCATGACAATAGTGACAGTTGCAGTGAGCTTCATCATCTGTGCACYTTTCACATGTGGCTCCATATTCGTTATTTATCTTATTGGATTTTATTGCACAAAAGTTGTCACTGTCTTCTGCCTGGCCCGAGCAGGCCCCTGGTAGGAGGGAGTCGCTGCCTCTCCGGGTCCCACATGCCCAGCCTGAGGCTCACGAGTCAGGTGTGCACGAGATTCTACACTGCAGAACCAGAAATGTGCAGTAGACAATGGGACGGGACCTCCTGGTTCTGCTCCTTCAGCATCTTCACTGTCGGAGCCCTGGCTGCGGGAGGTGGGAGTGGCCCCGGTGGCGGCTCACTCTCAGGAGGGAGTTTTAGCCTGCAGACAGGTGTTGATGCACCCTTCCTTTCAGTTTGGTGCAAACCCCATGTCTCTCGGTGCACAGAGGCCAAGGCTGTGGTTGGGCAGGTGGCGGGACATGAGCGGCCCTCGTGTGGCGATCCTATCCGCTGGCTGTGGCAGAGGTGGCCATCCATGTAACCCACGTTGATCTGACGCTTTGGTCCCACCTCTTTGCCCACTCCCTCATAGAAAAAGGCCTGTCCTTGYTGAGCTACCAGCTGTGCAGCTACCTGGAGACCCGAAGCGTCCCGAGAGTGGAGGCTGTCCAGACTTCCCACGTTGTCCACACGTCCTGCGGGGGCTGGATCCCATGGAGGTGGTGCCCCAAGACTGTTTACAGGACACAGTACCTGACRGTGGAGGTCCCCGAGTCCAGGAACGTGACCGACTGCTGCAAGGGCTAYGAGCAGCTCGGCCTCTACTGCGTCCTGTGTGAGTCCAGGGTGCAGGGGGGTGGCAGGGCAGAGAGGGAGTCTCTAGGACTGTCATGTGCCTGCTGTCAGCACTGAACTGTTTAGGTCTTGTGCATTAGGGTCATCTGAAGGGGGTCACAGGCCCACCCCAGAGCTCCGAGTCTGTGGGTCCTGATGAAAGGCAAGAGTTGGCCTTCCCGGCCTGTTCCCARGTGGTACGGAGGCTCACCCAGGGCCCTCGAGCTGCAGACCTGCCCGAGCTCGGAGGCTGTGCAGGCTCCTCCCCAGCCGCACAGTCTTCTCCTTTTGAAGGTCATGGTTAGGTGATGTGAGTTCCAGCTCACGTCATAGCTTGAACCCTACGGTGGGCCGGAGGGCCAGGCCTCCCCATCACTGCCCAGAGGCCACGTCCTCCTGCCTCCACCCTGCAGTGTGAAGCTGCTGCTGTGAGCAGAGATGGCTATTGCCAAGGCGACCAGTGTGGCTGCCAGGGCCACAGCAGGGCCAGGCAGGGCTCAGATGACCTCTTCCGGGAGGCAGTGTGAGAGGCAGGGTGCGTGGGTGGTGCTGCTCGCTCTGAGTCAGGATSAGATCAGAGTGAGCCTCCGTACAGTCAGAAAGTCCTCTCCCGCCCTGGGGAGGGCAAGTGGGAAGGGGTGCTGGCTAGGTGTCAGCAGGGCACCCAGGACACGAGGGCAGCAGCCCAGGGCAGAAAGCACTAGCTGTGGGGGCCCCGAGAAGGGCCCCAAGGGACCAATTCCTGTGGCCCAGGCCAGTATGCCAGCAGGCTGGGAGCCCCCCAGTTCCCCAATGCAGCATCATCMAGGGTGGGTGGTGGACACTTCCCCATTGTCCTGTTCAGAGGGCCAGGTGTAGAGAGGGCTGAAGGCTCTGGACAGATGCCTGTCAGACAGGAGCCTGACGAGCACCACCGCCATCAGCCTCCTCTGCAGAAGAAACAGGGCCAGCTGACTCAGGGCCAGCACCGGGCAGCGACAGGCTGTCCCTGTCCATTCACTAAGTGATGGGGTCTAAGGAGTCCCTTTGTGCCCAGACCCYAGCCCTATTTCCATGTTCCTGTCTCCAGGGCTCGTGGGCAACTGTGGCCAGCCAGTCCCACCACAGTTGCTCCTGCACCACCTCCCGGGGCTGGGGTCACCTTGCGTTCCCAGCCTGTTGCTGCGAAGGCCTTGTGGCTCAGAGCATCATGGCATGGAGCTYGTGATCTGGCCATTGAAGGCTGGCACAGGCCTGCCCCGTCCCATCTCAGGGTGACAGCTACACTTCTTCTGACTTGTTATTGCTATCAGGACGAGTGAGGTGACACAGCTGGAGGCAGCCCCAAGGGAGGCCGATCCTCAGCCCCTTCCCACCTCCAGCCCTGCCTAGGGCACCTRCGGCCCTGCTCTGCTCCACACGCTAATCCCCATGGAAGAGAAGACTGGCTGCTGGTGGCCCTCCCCACCACCTGCCCCCACCTTCCCTCAGCAAACCAGCATCTAGAAGGGCCTCTTGTGGGGCCTTGGCCCCCTTTTAAGAGCATGAGGACCTTTAATTAGGGACTCACCGGGGTGAGGGAAGGGTGCAAGTGTTCTAGTTAGAGAGTCTCAGGTGAGCACAGTGCTGCTCTGGGGAGCTGCAGGTGACCCTGTGGCAGGTGCAGGCAGGGTGAGGCAGGTAAGGGGTGGCTGGGGGAGAGGGAGASAGGTGCTGTGAGGCAGGACAATTCATGGTCCCCTTGATTCCTGGAAGTGCGACTCTAGTAGCGGGGGACCCAGAGAGGCAGACAGGACCCTGGAAAGAAAGGAGAGGAAATGGGCATTGGTCAGTGGTGTTGGAGGGTCAGGCCAGATAGGAGATCCTTGCTCCTGTCACTCAGGAATAGCTCTGCCTGGTGTGAACCCAGCCAGAGAGAGGCCAGGGACCTGACCAGGACTGGCAGCTAGTGGGCAGGCTGGGGATGGGGCCCCAAGTCTCTGCCCTCACACCATCGTTGTCTGGTTCACCAAGCTGCACTTGCTGTTGGGGAGCATTTGAGGTCAGTGGCCATGTGATGGTGGGAGGRGAACATTTCAGGGCACCAAGGACACTGGGCTCTCCCTGGGGAAGGTCCCTGCTGGTGCCAGGGCTTGTCATATAGCATAACCCATGGGGCCGCGGTGGCTCCCTCTCTCTGTGCGGGACCATCGTAAGCCCTGATCTCTACCCAGCTCTTGTTCAAAGGCAGGCCCTGGTGGCCTGAGGCTGCGGGTGGGCACCACATCTACACCATGGATGTGGATGGGCAGCCCAGCCTTGCCCAGCRTTCTGGGTCACTCCATGACGGTTTTGTGAATGCCCATTTGGAGCCACCCATGGTGGGTTGGCTGTGTRGAGCTCCAGCAGCCCAGCCAAGACCCGCAGCTCGGGTTTGCACAGGATGAAGCTGGTGCAGAGCTGGACCCCACAGGTGGACGGTGGGAGGGACAAAGAAGCCCAAAGACATTTTTTCCTCTGGCAAAGCCTCTTGCCCTGGTGCCTTTGCATCAGTACCTTGTCCCCAAGAGGCAGCAAAACACCACTTTCCCTTCTCTTCTCTTCCCTGGAAGCCGGCATCCAAAAAGTCATTAGCACATGGGATGCGACCTCCCTGAAGGCCTCTTCCACCTGTGGGCCCAGCACTGCTGGGAAAGGATAAGTCACATTTTTTGATTTAAACTTTAAAAAATGTAATAACAAAAATGAATRCACGGCCATTGGCCATTCATCAAAAATGAACGCACAAATAATTTGGAAGCACAGTCGGAAATTACCCCAAAGCCCACCACCCGAGAATAACCCCAGTTAGATTTCTTCTGGTCTATATCCAGGGCGGGCATCTTATGGAGGATGGTGGCCCCAGACAGGGATTTCTGAAGAACACCCTCACCCCTGGCCAGGCCGCCCAGGCGTCTTCATGTCAATAAGTATTATCTACTGCCTGACTCGATGGCTCCCGCACACCACCTCCATGGACGTAGCAGTGCTTCTTATGCACTGCTTAACATTTAGTTGTTTCCCAYGTTTTTATTATCATAAGTAATGCTGAACATCATAAGGGACACACACTGCTCCCCACAGTAGGATCACTATCAGGGTACCTCCTGAGAAGTGGGACCAAGCGTCTTGCCAGAGCTCACCATGTCCAGGGACTCCTGGCTTCTGCACGGCTCACTGTATGGGTTCAACACCTTGGCAAGCTCCCCTCCTCGGGCAAGCCAGGGCCCCACTGGACCAGGAGGCCCCGTAACTCCCATCCCTCCCTGATGATGGCCAGGGCCCTGGAGGAACAAGGCAGGAAAGGATGCTACCACAGGGCAGTGGGCTCCGCAGCCCCTGGGATGTGGCTGCCTGGATGGAAATCACAGCATCATCTCGCTGAGTCAGGACTACCTGGGCTGCCGGGTGCCCGGTTTCATGGTTCGCCTTGAGTTAGGGAAGGAGAAGGAGATTCTTGAGTTCTGACCAAGTTGGAGTCATTGGTGTTTCTCTGATGGCACTGGGTGAGCCACCAGTGGAGGCAGGGAGGGGATTCCCAGTAGTCAAACGGAGGCGCAGAGCCTGGACCGAAATACCGCTGCCGTGATCAGGCGGACGAGGCTGGCAGCCAGTTTTGGGGGGTGGGCTGTATTTTCTTTAAATTTAAATAAACATGTTAGCTTAGGACAGTTTAAGGTTGATGGAAGCGGGGCAAAGAAGGCACATAGCTCCCTGCCACGCCTCTGAGCTTCCTCGTGTCACTGGGATGGTTTATTCCAGTCGAGGGTCCGGGCATGGGACTCCRTGTTTGCCTGGACTGGTCGCCCACCTTGCCTCGCCTCTCTTCTGTCCCAGGAGCCCACCTCACAYTCAGACCTGGCGTCTTTTGTCCTTGAGGCCCTTGCCACTCACCRCAGGGATGAAGCAGGGAGCCCGCTCTCCCTCCTTGGCCTGTGCAGACAGCCATTTCTTTTTTCTTTTTTTTTT